CCCATCCAGCTCCCTGCTTGTTGCCTGGGATAGCAGTAGAGGATGGCCCAAAGCCTTGCTGCCCTGCACCCACATGGAAAACCCTGAAGAAGTGTGTGGCTCATTTCTTTCTATCAGCTCAGTTCTGGCTGTTGCATCCACTTGGGGAGTGACCCAGCAGATGGAAGCGCCTTCTCTTTTTCTCTCCTTCTCTCCATAATCTGATGTGCCTTTCCAATAAAAATAAATCATTAAAAATTTAAATAGTTCAGTGTAAGAGTTTAATTTTATGCATATGAGGCATCAGGAACTACATTGAAATATGTATTATGACAGAAGTATATATTCTAATACATTTTGTAGGAAAACTAAGTTCTTTTAATTTTATTTTCTTTCCCTTTTTTTTAAAGATTCGTTTATTTGTATTGAAAAGGCAGGCCCATAGAGACAAGAGAAGACAGAGAGAAAGATCTTACATCTGCTGGCTCACTCCCCAAGTGGCAGCAGCTGCCAAAGCTGAGCCAATGTGAAGACAGAAGCCAGGAGCTTCTTGTGGTCTCCCACTTGGGTTGCAGGTTCCCAAGGCTTTAGGCCCTCCTCAACTGCTTTCCCAGACCACAAATACAGAACTGGATGGAAAGTGGAGCAGCCAGGACACAAATCCATGTCCAAATTGGATCTTGGCACTCGAAGGGGAACGATGAACCAATCAAGCCATTATGCTAGGCCCTTAAGTTTATGTTTAACAAGTTTTTGAAGCATACTTGTATGTCATACAGTATCACAACATTTCCTTCTTAAAGTTAATGTGTATCCTTTACAATCCCTGTATCTCCCTAGATATTCAGAACTTGACATCATCTGCTCCACTTATCTAGCTCTTGCTAGTGTCTAATATGATATGATACTTCATTGATTTAATTTGCTATTCTCTGACTAGTGATGAGTTTGAACACTTCTTCATATGTATATTATGTTTTGGGCTTTCTCTTCTGTGTATTGTCCCTTTAAGTCCTTTACATATATTTCTACCTATTTTCTTCTTCTGTCCAGTTTGTAGGAGCTCCTTGTGAATACAAATATGAATTCTTGATTTCTGTGCATGTAATATTTAGTGGTATGATGATAGTGATCTAACTTGGGAAGCAGCAAATGTGAATTATGATGCTACAACCCTATTGTACCTAGAAATTTTGGTAGGAAATGGGTTAGAGAGACAGAATTGTTGGGTGGAATATGAGCAACCTTGGTCTCCAGGCTGCACTGAACTTAATGAGCTAGATTTCTACATGCAGGATCCATTGGATTTTCAGGAAACCGTGAAATCATGTGGGGTCGGATTTTGTAGCAGCTGGCTATTCTGGCAAGTAGGGATATTGATGCTACCTGGACTGCCATTCATAGCAAGGAACAAACCCTGCAATCAGAGGAAGAAGCCCAATCAAGGATGGCATTTAAGTCTATTCTTATCCTATACTGTAATTTTTTTTCCCAGTGTAGTGAGAATTCATAAAAATTCTCCATGTGTTTAAGCTAAAAAAAGTTATGATTTAGGGGTTAAAATCCACAAGAAGTGCTTATTTAGATCATGACTAAGCCAATATTATGATATGAAATAATTTGTATAAAATTCTTACTGCATCTCTATGACAGTAATAAATATTGTGATTATCATGAAATGTTCAATAAATTCTAAATACATATTCAATTTTTAAAAATGGTATTTATTTCTTCCTATTTAGAAAATTATAATAGTACAATTAAAATTTTCTACTAAGAGCAATTAAATAAAGCTTTGTAGTAGTCTTCTGTAGAAACGAATGTTACTGTGGAACATTTGGAATAGGTCTTCCTATTTGTTACGGTCTAATTTGTTTGATAGAATCAGTTCATCTTTGGTACCATCTTGTGGTCAGTGAAGGCATAGAGTTGCTCTGGTTTTCAGCAATAATGTGTGCTACAAAAAAACTTTTAGCTTTATGATATGCCTTAAGATTAATAAATATCTGGATTTTTATGTATGGATGTAACAGTGATCCTAGGAGTAGGGTTTGTACTATAATGGTTTCTTCCTTTAGCTCAGTTCAGTGTGTAAGGGGGAGTTATGGCATGACTACAGTCAAGAGTAGAACATGAACACTGTGTTCAGCAAATGTAGGGTTGTTGGGAAAGCAAACTCATCATAGATCAAACAATAGTTTACCTTTCACCAGCCAAAACTGGACTTTGAGACTAAGGTGACATTTTTGATGATTTGTTGATACAGTAGCTGTCCTTTGTATCTATCTCTGTGTTCTGTTTGCACTGTGGCATGGCACATGGGAGTTAAAAACTATGCTTGTATCATATGTATATATGCATATAAACATATATGTCATTCTTTTCTACTGTTTTTTACCTTCTTTCTCCATCTATATTATTATTTTACAGTGACTATTTTTTTTAATAGGATGAGCTGATCCAAAAGCACTCTCAGTGGGTATGTAGGAAACATACCATTATATAATCCAATCTTTTGTTTTTAAATCATTGCACATTAATATGAATACAGCGATGAAGCTCAACATTTAGTGCAGATTTGTGGGCTATTTTCTTTCTTCTTCAACTGCACTGTTTGTGAGAGCATTTTTTTTATATATATATAACAAAAGAACCATGTGGTAGCTGTTTAGGATTACATTACTTAGTCTAGCTGGCTTATCTGAGCAGTAAATCGTGGCTTTTAGAGGGAGATGTGCATTACAAGGAGAAGTACTCTTTGTTTTCAGAACATACTTTCCTAGATTATAGTTGTATTCCATTTGGCCCAGTCTTTTATCGCAACTCTTTAATTTTATGCTGGAACTGAATGTGTTTTTGTTGTCTGCATCACTGGAACGTTTGGGTAGATCATTTTTGCCATCGTGGAGATAGGAAGGGCCAGAGCTTGAATAAAAGTCCAGGAAGTCGCTCTAGGAATGACTTTTGCATTGCCAAAAATGCTAATACATTGGCACTGAATTAACAACTCCAAAAATGTCACCAAACTGAAAACAAAGATGCAAGTGTTGTCACCACAGCTGTGCTCACTTCTGCTGAAATCAGTTTCTTTTCCTGCTTTGCACAGTGAGTAATTTTAAGTCCCGTTTTATGTAGTGTAAGAAGTCCCGTTTTATGTAGTGAAAGTGAGTCCATTTTATGCACTATACTGTAATGCAGCTGCTTACCCACAAATATTCAGGTTCCATTAGACCTGAATGAGGGGCCATTTGTGCAGAATTGTCCTTTATACCATGAATAATAGTTTTTTGACCAAATAGAATTTTTGGCAAGGATTGTGATGCCAGCTGTTACAAGAGTAAGAATTTCACTGGTTCATTAAGTATTGAACACTCACTAGATACCAAATCTTAAGGCAGATGGAATCTCTACAACTTTCTGCTACAATGTAGAAAATGACCACCCTAAGACACTCAAGGCTGTATGTGAATTGTAACACTGAAACAACGGGAGGGAATAGCCGATGAAATTTCATGCCCTGACAACACGATGCTCAGCATTTAGTAAAGATTCATGAGTTATTTTCTCTTTTTTCCAGCTATGCTGGTTTCTGAGAGCATTCTTAGTTTTGTGTGTGCAAGCAGCATGCAGTAGCTGTTCAGGTTTCTTAGCCAATGAAATCCATCATTGTACTAGCTTCATAGCATTTGTTTCATAGGGATTAATTAATGCATACTTGTAGATGGAGTATTTTTAGTACTTCCTTTTATTGGTATTTTAACAAGAGTATCCACCAGGATAAAACATAAATTTATGCTGTTCCTTCATTTAAACGACAGTTTGTTTATAACTACTCTGCCCATGCCTGCCAAAAATGCAACATTTTAGGAATAAGTAAAGATCAACTTATAGCTTTATGTTCAGAATATGTGGTATTGATCCTTTTGATTTCTGCAAGTAGAAATTATTTTTATTTGATTACTTGAAGCTACTGGCATTTAAGTCTGTTTTGCTACATGTTAAGGTAACTTGTTTGAAATAGCAAATGTTTCTGGGCCATAATATAATTGTAGAGAAAGACTATGTGAGTAGTTCTCACAGCTGATTATTTGTGTATGTTAACTCCTGCAGGTCACCAAAAGACATTTTTGTCTTGATCATATCCCTGACCTACAAAATCAGAATCCTTTTTTTTTTCTTTTTTTTTTTTTGGCAGACAACTGTTGAGTATCCGAAGGGTACTATTTTAGATAGCCTGACCTTCACCTTTTGTTCCAAATGTAGAATGGGGTACAATTGTGGAGTTGACATACCAGTGTATACTTCTTCAAGGATGAAGAATATTTCAGGGCCCGGCGCGGTGGCGCAAGTGGTTAAGGTCCTCACCTAGCACGCCCGGGATCCCATATGGGCGCCGGTTCTAATCCCGGCAGCCCCGCTTCCCTTCCAGCTCCCTGCCTGTGGCCTGGGAAAGCAGTCGAGGACGGCCCAAAGCTTTGGGAACCTGCACCCGAGTGGGAGACCCGGAAGAGGCTCCTGGCTTCGGATCGGCATAGTATCGGCCCGTTGCGCTCACTTGGGGAGTGAATCATCGGACGGAAGATCTTCCTCTCTGTCTCTCCTCTCTGTATATCCGCCTTTCCAATGAAAAAAATAATAAAAATAAATCTTTAAAAAAAAAAAAAAAAAAAAAAATGAAGAATATTTCAAAGAGCAGAATGCATGCCTAAATTACACAGATCAAATTCTCTTCCTACTCGACTAACTGAAGGCTTTGTACACAGTTGGAATTCACTAAAACTTTTTAAAATAATTATGTTGGATCCAGCATTGTGTCACAGTGGGTTAAGCAAAAAAATTCTTCTCTCCCTCTCTCTCCACTGTACTCCTCTCTCCCTGTAACTATGATTTTTAAATAAATACATCTATTTTTAAAGAAAAACATTTTTTAAAAGTGTATTGACTTTTGATTGAGATAATGTGAATCAACGTTTTATTGGGGCTGTGATTTGAATCTTTTTGTTATTGTTACTCTCCTCTAGGATGGAAAGAAGAAGTTTGACAAGGAGAGTGAAAAATACTATTCTATTCTTGACAAGCATTTAAATTTGTCTGCAAAGAAAAAGGAGTCTCATTTGCAAGAGGTAAGCTTTTCCAATTGACACATAAAAAAGGCATTAAGTCATGTAAAATCAAAATTTCCGAAGACAGAAGTTGCTGGAAACCTGTTTTGTCTTAATAAAATAATGACAATAATAACAGATAACTTAATTAAGTACTCATGGGAAGGTACCTTATGCACATTATGACAACTGTATTAATTCTTCCAAGTATTTCCTTCAACAATGAGAAATATTGAAGCAAGGTTCTTTTTCTTCTTTAGGGATATGTCTTAGAGAGGTAAGGCCTATTAAGTCATATCATGTCCTTTGTATTACATTTAACATAATTATAATATTATTGTTGAGCCTTTACTTCAGCATGGAGGGAAAAAAAATAGATGAGTATACATGATTCTTTTTTTTTGAAATTTTGTGTATGTACTTGAAAGGCAGAGTTGCACACCCACCATAGGAGAGAACAAGGGAAAGAGGGAGGCAAAGGGAGAAAAAAATCGCTTATTTGCATGTGCTATTTCACTCCCCAACTGTCCCAAATAGATATTGCGTGGCCAGGCCTAAACTAGGGGCCAGGAATTCAATCCTGGTTTCCTACGGAGATGGAAGGGGCTCAAGACCTTGGCCACATTCTGCTGCTTTCCAAGATGCACTGGCAGAAAGCTGAGTGGGAAATATTGTATCAAGGGCTTGAACCAGTGTCAGGTTAACTAACTATGCTACAATGCTGGCCCCAATTGTATTTTTTATTATTATTTATGTTATGATACAGTTCCATATTATGATACAGATACAGAGGACTTATCCCTCTTCTGCTCTCCAATAATTTTCTCCCCAGTGATTTCCCCTATGTTATTAAAATAGTAATGTCCTTCAAGAAAGAGTCCTAATGCCACCATTCTGCTATTTAAGAGTACCCTGACATTGTAGGTATAGACAATGGCAAAAAACCCAGCATCCTATTGTCAAGCTGTACTTAAGTTTCATTGGGAGCCCATCTTTGACTTGGAAGTAGAGATGATACTGCATTGCATCTTTGCATCTCAATATGATAGTCTCTATTATATAGTTCCTTTGCAACTATTTTGTTTAAGAGCAAATGGATAAAAATATTTTGTTGTTATATCACAGGTAAACAGACTCTTTCTTTCTATTGTCTGAAATATCTTATATTTAATCCTCCCCATCTGGTATTGCTTTCATCATAATTAGTCAAGTCAATAGTAGTCCTTTTTCTAGTAAATGTGTATGGGGAAAACAAATCACACCCCCTGCCATTGTCTCTTTAGCATCAATAAAACCAAGGGGTAGCAGCTTCAGGTTTTCTCAGTATAAAATGGAGTAAGCCTTGCGTTGGGTCTTTTGTAGTGCTTTCTGCTGATGTCTAGGACTTCCAGGGAAGCTAGCACCTGCTGAGTCTCCTTGAATCTCCAGTTTCTCTCTTGAGGCTCTTATATGTCAGCAGAGAACCTCTTCTGAATTTATCATCTAGTCCTCCTCTCAGCACAGCTTGCCCTTACCACAGCCTCTTCCTTTTCTCCATGCTCTTCAAATTTAATTCAGTCTTCTGCTCTTCTAATGACCTTTATTTCTCTGGCTTCCAAGTTTGGATCAATGCATGCCCTACAAATTAAAGTTTTACAATGATTTTACAGCTTCAGAAGGGAACAGAAATGTTGTTTTGGTGTTCGATTCTTTTTTTTTTTCTCACTCTTGTTAAGGTCATCTTATTATTTAAAAATATTTGACAACTGCACATTTTGCCTACTGGTTAAGGTACTTACATCATGTATCAGAGGGTGTGGGTTCAATTCAAGCAAGTCCTGACTCTGCCTTTCAGCAAGTGCAGACTCTGGGTGCTAATGGTGATGGCTTAAATGATCAGGCTCCTGTTTCCCATATGGAAGATCTGGGACAGATGGTACTGAAGAGTTACCATCCCTTGGGTCATTCCATACATACTCACAAAAGCCAGGGCTGAATGATTAGGAACTGAATCCAGGTCCCCTAGATGTGTAGAAAGGAGACAACCATTTAAGCATGACCTATTGTCTATGCTCCTCCCACCTGCTCCCCTCACCTCACTGCAGTTCCAAATAGGCAGGAAGCTAGAATGGGGAGTAGAGCCAAGACCTGAAGCCAGGCACTCCAGTATGGAATACAGTCATCTTATCGGCCATCTTAACCTCTATGCCAAATGAACATGAGTCCATTTTAATCTCTGCCTTCTGTTATTAGCATACGCTGTTAAAGTAGTATGATTTAAGCTACAATTCTGTGATTCCAGAAAGTTTTTGTGGCTAAAGTGAAATGGAAGACAATCTGCTATGCTAATTTTTTTTTTTTTTACTGTTTGCTGTCATTTAATATAATGTGTCATGTTCAAAGTGCTTTACATGCTCACATTTCTCCTTGTATATTGCACTACAATGAACCTGCCAGAGAATGGGGGGTGTATATGATGTGGAGATAGCTCTGTGCGGGGAAGTATCCCTAGTTACCAACCATGAACCATCTTCTGTCCTTCTGAGGATTCGGGACAGTTGCCCTATTAAAAAATTGATAGTCTCAACACCAAGGGTAGGTTTTAGAGTCCCTAACAAATTATTTTCCTTGGCAAACAGGAGAGGCCACCCTTAGACAATGCATTACTTAAACCATTGCAAGGAAATAACAACTTCACTCTAATTTTAAGTGCTCCAGAGTATGTGTTTCAATGTTTTCTGAAAACATAGCTCAATGTTTAATCCTTTCCTTGCTAGTGGCCCTCAGTTCCTTAGGCTATGGCGTAATATAATGTTCAATCTGTTTTTGTATGCAATTGGAGGCTGAAAAAGAGTGTGATACAGTGGCATCCTTCTCCCACCTCACCTCAGAAACACACAAACGAGCAGGCACATCTTTTCTAAATAGATCACTCCTAATGCAGCATAGTACAGCAAGACACGTTGTAGTAAAGCATATCACTGGGGATATATAATGTATACAAAAAACAAACTGGCTTGTTCTGACTTCCTTCAACAATCACTGATGCTGTAGGGAAATGCTGCCAAGAAAGTAATTTTTACTTCAGTGGCATGGCAGAAGGAGTCATTGGTCCCTTTCCAGAGCAGCCTGGGTCCTTCTGTCAGTACCAAGCTTGTTAACTTGTCCTCCCAAAGACCCCTTGGTGCTTTCTCAGCTGCACAACTGACTGCTTATTCATTCTGCTCATGGAAAATAAGTGGCTGTCCATTTCCAGAACTAAATTGAAGGGTCAGCTTAGGTTGACACAAATCTAAAGCCATCGATTAGACGGGTCATCGGAGGGTACAACTAGAGAATTGCAAACAAACTTGTCAAGATTATAGGTTTTACAGTGCATGAAAAGAATTTGTATTTGATGTATGAATGAATAATTCTTTCATAACAATAAAAATGTAATGAATCTTGAAGACCTGAATGTGCAAATATAAATAATTTCTAAAAACTTTAAGCTAAATATAAAGTCAAAGCAATAGAGAGTTCAACATCTTACGATGTGGCAGTACCCTCTCTTATGTAGCAAAAGTATTTACTGGCCAATGTGAAGAAACATACAAAATTTTGAGTGGGAAAAAAAAGACAATGGGCTCAAGACAAGGTGTTCACCAAAAAGTGAAAATAAGCTATAATAAATACTTCTAGTTTGTAAGTCAAATGTTTTTAAAATAATACAAATTAATAATAAGAGGACATTTTGAACATATTAGGAGTTAATACTGTGTCCATCCTCATGGCATATGGATTCAGCTGCCACCTGCAGTACTGCTGTTGCATTTAGGCACCAGTTCAAGTCCAAGATGCTCCTCTGCTGATATGGCTCTCTGATAATGTGTCTGGAAAAGCAGTGGAAGATTGCCAGAGTGCTGAGACCTGTGCATCTACATGAAGACCTGGAAGAAGCTTCTGGCTCATGATTTTGGCCTGGCATAGCCCCAGCCATTGTGGCCATTTGGGAAGTAAACAGTGAATGGAAGACCTTTCTCTCAGTGTCTCTTTCTGTTTCCTTCTCTGTACCTCTGCCTTTCAAACAAATAAATAGTAGTAATAAAATAATAAAGCTTCGGAAGATAATTCCCATTGTTATTATGGGAAACAGGGGATCCATTTGTATCTCTGGTGGATACATAAAGAACTCAGCGATGCTGGGAGTCACTATGGTGTTAAGCCACTGCCTGCAAACTAGCACCTCATAGAGGGGTGAGGGTTCAAGTCTCAGTTTCTCTACTTCTGAATCAGTTTCCTGCTAACATGCTGTTAAAGCAGTGGAAGGTGAGCCATGACTGTGTCTCCCATCTGGGACATCTAGATAGAGTTCTTGGCTCTTGGCTTCAACTTGGTCTATATGTTACCTACTGTGGCCAGTTAGGGATTGGACCAGCACATAGATAGATTTGTGTCTCCAAATCCCTCTTTCACTTTCTGCCTTCCAAAACTTTTTTTTGAGAAACAGAAATCAGTTATTCTTGAGGTAAATTTGACACTACATTTTAACAAAACTTAAATATATGATTGAGATGAATCTCATTCGTAGGAAAATACTGAAAACAAAAAAGGTATAAGATATAAGGATAAAAATAACTTTTTTAAAGATTTATTTATTCATTTGGAAGGCAGAATTACAAAGAAAGATATATACATATACCTTTCATCCACTGGTTCACTTCTGAGTCAGAATGGCCAGAACTGGGTAGGTCTGAAGCCAGGACCCAGGAGCTTCTTCCAGGTATCCTGCATGGATGCAGGGAACCTAGCAGTTGGGGCCTCTTTTGCTGATTTGCTAGGTATATTAACAGGGAACTGGTTTGGAAGTATTAACAGTATAGATTCAAACAAGGACACATATGTAAAGCCAGTGCCACAGGCAGCAGCTTTACCTACTATGCCAAAGTGCCAGCCCCATATAAACTGAATAAATACATTGAATCGAGAATTATTCACAATACAAAGATTTAGGAGCATCTGAAATGACAAAATGAATATTTTTGGTAAACAAACAACTATAATTGGACTAAAAATGGAGTGTTATGATTTTTAAAGCTTTTTAAAAATATTTCAAGACATGAAGTAGAAAATTGTGCAAAGGAAAAAATTTAATCAGACTGTACAATGGTATTCCAAGTTTGTATTAAAGTAAGTTTGTGTAACTATGAGTATTTTACCCTTAATATTTTAATAGTGGAATTTCATTTATCTTTACATTTCCCTGTCCTAGAAGTGAATAAAAAGTAAATGTGCATAGATGAATATTTATTTCTTTTATAAATGTAAGGAAAACTAACGAGAGTGTGGATTCCTTTCAGAAATCTGTGTACTTATTTTCTGATTATTAAGACTGGCTTTAACAGGTTCCTCTTTTTCTCACCTCTTAAAAGAAGCAGGACTTCGCGTTACCATCTCTTCATGATTCAATATAATCTTTACCCATCACCATGTTTCCCAAATGGCTCCCGTTTCTCATTTTATTAGTTATCTGTTATAGTGACATTATTTCTGGTGACAGACTTATCTCCAACTTTCCCTGTGTTTTTCACAAGGGCATTTTCAACATATATTTCTTGCTGTGGTACGTCAAACACCTTTGCCCTTACCTGTTAAGAGACCTTATGTTTGCAAGCACTCAACCCTACCACGTACATGTGCGTTCTGTACTGTTCTCATGTTAGCCTTGAAATGCAGTTAGCTTGTTGTCTGTGCCTGTTCTAGGTTTTTACAGTATCTGCGAGATGAGGTCTATACTCATTCAATCTTTTCTGCCTTAAATGTCCTCTCGTTTGGGTTGGATTGTCCTAATCCAGACCATTAATCACAAACTTTTGTTGGATGTAAATATACTTTCTCTATTGCTGACTCTCTTCCCTCCCTCAAACCCTTTTCATTTTGTCTCCACTTACTCTTTTTCAGAAACCAGCTTAAGTCTTTTCTCCCCTGAGAATGAATCAACAAACACCACTGATGCCAATCCCCTTACTTTCAATTGAGAGCTTATTGGAGTTAGGGAGGAATTAGGGTATCTGGAGAGCCATATGGTTTTCCTGTGAAATTAATTCAGTTTCTGACTTTACAGTCCCTTTTGCCATGTAAACAGCAGTTTACACCTGTTGTTCCAGCATAATTATTACTAGTACTCTCCTCCAGTTTTAAAATTGTCCCAGTTTGAATGATAAATCATATGGTTATCCTACTTACCTGACATAAAATAGCGCCAGTCTCTGGCAAATTTAATACCAAGTATTTACTGGTGAACTGCACAGTGTGTGCTTATGTGTTGAAGCGTTTCATCCCAAATAAAGAAATGCCTTTGTAAATCCACTGAAAAGCAATTAAGCTGTCATATTCCTTAAGTCTTACACACTCTGGGTGACCTTGCAAAGTAGCTTTGGAGTATTGAATTTCAGTTGTCTATATCAGTGGCGATGGAAAGATTCACAGCTGGCCAATGGCAAAAATGATCATTTTCTTTTTTATCCTTTCTGTGCTGTTTTCATTTTTGAGGTGTGTGGGTGAGATGGTATAGTACAGCTAATAGGCTTCTGAAAACATGACTTCATAGTCTTGTGAAGGACTCCAAAAATGCCTCCATTTTGGTGACTTGCTAGAGGACCTCTCAAACAGTCCAATATTTAGTTATTTTCATGGCTGTATTTTATCAACAATGACAGGACACAAAGAACTTCCATCAGAGGGAAAGTGTGCATGAGGCAGAGTTGGGAGGTGAGCAGGTGCAATTTTGTGAGAGCTACCTTTACACAGAGACATGTAGAGGCATGCTGAATCCCTCAGCAATGAATTGTGACTGCACATGGGAAGTGCTGTCTAGGTGTGTATCAGGAAAGCTCATTAGACATCCAGTGCCCAGAGTCTTTATTAGCAGTTGGTCATACAGGCACCTGTGCTTGGCCTGTGCCCAAATTCCAAACTCCTAGAAGGAACGAAGTATTCTTTATATGCTCTGTTCAGTGCACCATTTAGGTATAGTGACGCTCTTGTCTGAATATGGGAAGCATCCTGACATTCTGATTGCTGAACAGCAGCAATGGGCCCACCCTGTAAGCAGATCTTTTAAGATAGCTGTCTGGGCTGCACTGCTACTGCTTCTGAATAAATAATCATAAGTTATGACTATAATCATAAATTATGACTATAAATAATCATTTTAGGCTCTTAAAATGTCTCAATTTTAGCTTCTGGCCATGTGCTAAGTATCTCAATCAATGACATTGCCTTTTAAAGTAAATAAAACCTTTAAAATGTAGAACAGAATGCTGCCTCTGAAACCGAAAATATGCTTGTGTCTGTTGCACCTTGTGCATAATGATGTTTGTGCTTCTTGTTTGCACTTTGTTTCATCTCCTGCATTCAGTGATGCTTAGTTTGTGATTTGAAACTATGTACATTTCAAATATGCACTGTATACACTACAAATATCAGCTAATATGCTAAAATCACTCCTTTCTCCCCCAAGAGTTGCTGGTTAAACATTGACTGGACTGCCACCATTTATTTCTCATCATTATTATAATTCATTGTGCATTTTTGGTTAGCTGGCCTTTTTTTCTGCCAAGGGCCATTTGGATATTTATAGCATCATTTGTGGACCATGCAAAATTATCAACTTAAAAATCTGCCTGCTGTAGATTTATTGACTTTCAGGTCCCACCTGCACTTTTCTTGGCAGAGTTAGACCAAATGATTTCACTGGTCTTACACAGCCTGCAGACGGGACATTCCCTACTCCTGAAGTGATGAGTAAAAGAGAGGTGATGTGTGTGGAATAGTAATTCCCTTTTTGTTGATTCCTTGATTTTCCTAAATGATCTTTGAGAGCCAAGAAGTTTTCAGTTAACATCTCCTACTGTATTTATATGTTATTCATGTATACCAGTATTAGTTGAAAAACCTGTACTTCTAAACTTTAAAAATTCCAGTGAGTCAGGTTTATTTATTGTTATAAATAAAAATGTGTACTAAGCATACACTGTTGTTTTTAAAGGAGCTCCAAATGAAATGTTAAGATGCTGATATCCAAGGTGAAAAACTTTCAATTTTTGCAGGTGTTTTCTGTGCGATAATCATTGTAAATGACTGCAAACCATTTTTCTGTTCATAAATTAAGGTTGATGGATAGTTGGTTTGCCCTAGAACCCCTTCTTTTCATCTGCTTTCATTATTCTAAGCTGGCAGCAAGGAGTGCATACCAGGCAAGGAAAGGCAATATCATGACTCTGTTGAATCAGTCACTTCCACAAAGTACATCTGATGATGACAGTCAACATTGAAGAATGAGGAGAAGCAAGTCAGAAAGACAATGACATTATCTCAGTAACACTCTCCCACATTTTATCAATAGAATTCTCTTGCAAACAGAAAGAGTAATGGACCTGACATAGAGGAAACTTCATCAGGACAGAGTCAATGATTCTTTTTTCCTGCTCTGCTACCAGCATTATCCTTCCAAGAGTGTTCCTTAAGGATGTGGCCCTCTTGGTTTTCTCTGGCACGTCTCCCACTAGTAAAACTCAGAATTACTATCCAGTAACGAAGATCTAATAGCTCTTCTGTAAATTCTTTTTTTTTTCCAGAGTACTCTGTATGTATGTATCTCTATTAAAATATTGAAGAAAGGGTTATAATAAATATTTCATTAAAACATTTCACAAGAAATTTTTTAAGATTTATTTTTTTTTATTGGAAAGGCATATATACAGAGCAGAGGAGAGACAAAGAGAAAGATCTTCCATCCACCGATTCACTCCCCAAACGGCCACAATTGTTGGAGCTGAGCTGATCCAAACCAAAGCCAGGAGCCGGAGCCTCTTCTGGGTCTCCCACATGAATGCAGGGTCCCAAGTCATTGGTTCATCCTCGACTGCTTTTCCAGGCCACAATCAGGGAGCTAGATGGGAAGCGGGGCCACCGGGATTAGAATTGGTGCCCATATGGTATGGCCAAGCAAGGCGAGGACTTAAGCCTCTAGGCTACTGTGCCTGGCCCAAGAATTAATTTGTTAATTAAGGTTTCAAATTAGAACAAGAATACATTCTGTCTACATTTAACCACCAATAATCTCCGTCTATGTCTGCTTTGTCTTTGTTCTCCTCTTTAGGCAGATACACAGATTGACAGAGAACATCAAAACTTCTATGAAGCATCTTTGGAATATGTATTTAAAATCCAAGAGGTTCAAGAGAAAAAGAAGTTTGAGTTTGTTGAGCCGGTAAGTTTTAGATTCCTTGTAAAATACTAATCCAAAAAAAGACTTATTAAAAAAAAACTGAACAGAAATTATTGGTTAAAAAAATATAAAGATCATAGGGTAGGTATGAGTAAATGGAAGGCAGTTTGGGGACATTGAAAATCTTATGTGTGCCACTGTAAGGATAGATAAATGCCATGCATTTGTCAGTATGCATAGAAGGGATTGGACAAAACAAATCCTAATGTAAGCCATGCTTCAGTTAACGGTGTGTCAATATTGGCTCATCAACTCTAGCAAATGTACTACAGAAATGCCAGAAGTTAGTAATTGAAATATCAACCGTTTAGGGGAATGCAGCGTGGGGGGTGTGCATGAATAGAGCAGCCAAGTGCGTACTTACAGGAGTTCTCTGAATTCCCCCTCCAATTTTTCTAGAAATGTGAAATTACTCTCAAAACAAAATGTATTTTTAAAGGTTGTGCATTATCTATAAATGGTGAGTACAGTTCACCCCTAGCATGGCACATCTAGCAAACCTTCAGATGAAGAGAGAAATTTAAGGTCCTCTTTCTCCCTTTTTTTTTATGCCCCTTCCTTGCTAAGCTATAATATGCCTGACTTTCCTATGAAGTCATTTATTTTCCTAAGTTAGTGTAAAAATTAATGGATTCCCTAATGTAAACTGCATTACAGAAAAGAACAGGTGGCTGGTTTTTATAAGCTTACTTCATTTTCTTGGCATTTTTAGAAAATGATACCCACACATATTACAATATTCCCTGAGCAAGCATCTTCATAAGATGGCATCTATGATGAATAAAGATAAGCTTTAGAGTCAAGGTAATGGTATAATACATTTGAAGGTACTTTAAAAAGTTAACAAGGTATGGAATCAAAAGTAAATTTGGTGGAAAAAATAATTCTATATTAAAAAATTAATTCTTTCCAAGAAACTGTTGAACTTATCTGGACAATAAGATACTGGACAGTATGCAAAGTACATGCTTGCAATGAAAGAATGAGGATTGGATTTGAACTGTAATACTGCAACTAGGTGGAGAAATCTACCATGGGGAGAGGGTACAGGGAGGGGCTGGGGGAATCCTAGAGCCTGTGAAACTGTGTTATACAATCAAATAAAATTTAAAAAAAATAAAGAAGCTCATTATACTTAAAAAAATTAATTCTTCATAATACACTTTTGAAAGCCCTTTTATTATAAGGGTATGTGTTATATATGTATGTATTTAAATATAGATATATATCCCCATGAGGTAAGCATTCAGAGTTAATAAATACATCAGTAATCAAATATCTGATCTAACCCATTATTTTCCTCTGATGTGTTTCAAAAATACCTTTTAGGGGCCAACATTGCAGGGTAGTGGGTTAAGCCACTGTCTAATTTCAGCATCTCATGAATACCTGTTTGAGTCCCAGCTCCTCTGCCTCTCATCCAGGTCTTTGCTGGTGTGCCAGGGAAAGCAGCAGCAGATGGCCTAGGTACTTAGGCCCCTCTTGGCTATCTGGGGGCCATAAATGGAAACTGAGACAGAGCAAAGTCGACAGACAACTTGAGTCTCTCCCTGGCTCCCAGGACTTCCTGTCCTCTGTAAACTAAAGGGTTGGCAAGTTTATAAGACCAGTCCCTCAGCCAGCAGGATTAAGGAACTAAGGAGACTGGGGCTCAGGGATTTAACTTTGACCTTTTATTTGGGATAACTGACTTAAGTCTAGAATTTGTTTCCCAAACGTCTAAATTCTTAAATCTCATTGAATGAAGTGGTTACCTCTTATGTTATTGACCCTTTGAGGACATAGTTCAACTTTTATGGCATAGGGGAACTTTTTGAAGCTGAGAGGATCCTGTACAGCTGGGCAACCACCAAGTTTGAGGAAGAAGCCCACTGTTTACAATTCTTACTCATTTTCCCATTGCCAGATTCTGCCCCAGAATCTCCCTGTGAATTTTGAAGCCTCAGTACTCGGTGACAAAATTCTTACCTAATATCTGCCTTCTGGAATGTCTGCATCTGCCAAAGACTCCCATTAACTCTGCCACTTTCCCATTATCTTTTTCTTTTCCTTCAAATCCTGTGCCCATAATTTGTATTGTTTTTGTCCCTTTGCACGTGGGAACCTTTTTCCTTACTCAGGGTAGCCATTTCCCTAAGTCTGTTTTTATGTCCCGTCCCATCTGGGAGAAGTTGAACCTTGCCGTTTTTTAAGATGCGTTCAGATGTATAAAGAGAGGATTGTAACATACTTTGCTCGCAAGTGTTGAAGGAATGATAAGAATTTATGAATTCCTGTTAAAATGCCTGCAGAGAAGTGGAGTGATTCCTCAGCTGAAATGCACTTTCTTCCTTGCCTCTACCTTATCCCAAACTCTGGTATTCTGATAAATCTTCCATAAATGCATGCTTTTCTTATGACACTACAGTTAAAAACCATTGTTAAATTTATCCTTCTTCCAAAATATTTTCCTGATTGCTGTGTTTTTCCTACTAGAGTGTCTAGCCAAGCCATATTGTAGTCAGTTTAGTCTTGTCCTCATTTCTAGCCTCACCCATGGAATTCTACTCATTTCTCATTTCAGTAACGAGAGACTAGAAATAGGCATGATGAAACATAAGCATGCAGCTTGACCCTTTCAAAACACTTTGCAGAGGTTCATGTATGTATTGGAAAGGCAAACTTACCAGGAAGGGAGAGACAGAGTGAAATCTTCCATCTACTGGTTCGCTCCCCAAATGTCCACAATAGCTGGAGCGGGGTAAGGCCAAAGCCAAACACTTGGAACTCCATCTGGCTCTCACTTGGCCGCAGGGGCCCAAGTGTTAGGCCATCCTCAGATGCTTTTCCTTCCCAGATGCAGGAGGTGCATCAGAAGTAGAGCAACTGGGACTTGAATCAGAGCCCATATATGATGCCAGTATTAGAAGTAGCAGCTTAATTCCTTGCACCACAGGGCTGGCCCCTCATCCTGATATTTTAGGTTACTGTTTTGCCAATTAATTTCAAGGAAAAGAAAGTTTTGAAGTGTCAAAAAAAAAAAAACATTCCCTGGATATATGAATAATAACAAATCACATGAGGACATGTTAATGTCTTAATTGTTTTCGTTCTAGTGAATTCCAATTCCTTTTTTATATTGTAGACATTGAACAGACTGTTCTTGTTTTAGCCCCCAAGTAATTTAATAAATAAACAGTAAAGTGAAGCAAATGTCCCATGGATGAGACTTAGCTCAAATAGATTGCAAAATATCAAGTAGAAAATATAGAGAATGACAATTCACAGCAAATAATGTTCTTTAACATTGATATTATTATTATTCTTATTTATTTGATAAGCAGAAAACCATAGACAAAGGACAGAGCTTCTGCCTGCTGGTTCACTCCCTTAATACTTGTAACACCCTTGTTTGGACCAGGCCAAAGCTGAGAGCCTGGAACTCAATCCTTGTCTCCCACAGAGGTAGGGGAGATCTAAAATTAGTTAAGCTAGATCTCCTGCTGCCTTCAAGGATCTGCATTACCTTAAGCCTAGAATAGGAAATGGGGCTTGGAAGCAAAATTAAATACTTCAGTATGAGCTGTGTGTGTCCCAAGCAATACATTAATAGCTAAATCAAAGACCCATTCCTAGAGTGATATATTTTATGTAATTTTGCATTGTTTCACTTAATATCACTTTTGGGGTAGAATTGCTAAATGCATATAGGAATTCTTTTTAAGATGTATTTTTATAGAAAAGGCAGATTTACAGAAAGAAGGGGACACAGAGGAAAAAGGTCCTCTATCTGCTGGTTTACTGCTGAAATGGACACAAAGGCTGGAGCTGAGCCAATCTGGAGACAGGAGCCTACCCCAGGCTTCCCATGTGGATTGAATGCAAGTTCCCAACACTTTGGGTCATTCTCCCCTACTTTCCTAAGCCACAAGCAGGAAGTTAGATGGGATGTGGAATGGCCAGGACACAAACTAGTACCCAGATGGAATCCAGGCACTTACAATAGGAGGGTTAGCCAATTGAGCCATCATGCCAGGCCCTGAATATGGGAATTCTATGTTTAATCATTTGAAGAATCACTAGACTGTTTTCCAGAGTTACTATGCTATGTTACATTCTCACAATAGTATATGAGGAGTTTAAATTTTCCACATCCTCAACAACACTCGCTGTTATCCCACTTTTTAGTCTAACCACACTAAAGATTATGAAATCTTACCTAACTTTCCTTTTAATTTCTAGTTCCCCAGTTATTTGCAAACCAAGATTCTTTTTTAAGTGTTTGTTAACCATACATATCTTCTTTAGAGAAATGTTTATTTAGATTATTTGAAATATTTTCATTTGCTAATTAATATTTATTATATTACTGAGTTGTAAAGAAGATTATATATTTCAGATGCCAGTCTTTTATCAAAAAATTTGCAAGTATGTTTTCCCATTTTTCAAATTGTTCTTTTAGTTTATTTTTTGACACCATACATTGAATCGAGCAGTTTTGCATTTTCATGAAGTCAACTAATTGTATGTTCTTTGTGCTTTTCATATGTCTTTTCAAAGACAAGATATGAAGATTTATTCTTGTATTTTCTGGGGATCTGTAGTTTAAATCTTAAGTTTAGATCTTTAGTCTGGTTTTTGCGACTTTTGTGTGTATCGTGAAATGTGGGTTCAGCTTCATTCGTTTGCATTTGGTTGTGTAGTTGTCCAAGCACAAATTTTTGAAGACAATGTTGTTTGATCGTTATATGGTCTTGGCACGGTTGAAAATCTATTGATACTAGGTGGATGTAGATATACATATGTAGACATTTCATTCTGTTCCATGTCTTTACTTGTGCCAGTATCATACTATGGGGATTATTATTTGCTTTACATTAAGTTCTGAGATCAAGAAAAGTGAGTCATCCTACTTTTTAAAAAATATCTACTTATTTATATTTATTTGAAAATCAGATATGCAGAGAGTATGAGAGACAGAGAGGAAGATCTTCCGTCCACTG